CCATCACAACATCTAAAATTTAAGGATGGGATTCAGCTGCAAAAGGATGAATGTTAAAATGTCCTAGACTACCTTCTGTGATCTCTGGTTGTGCAAGTCTCATATATCCTGTGGCAGTTCTGGTGTCAGTACTTAAATATCTTCTGGTAGCTGAATACCACCTCTAAGTTTATGGTCTAGAAAAGTCTTCTAGGTTCTCTGTGTCATAAGTGATGAAAGAAAAAAGTGGTCAAGGAGCTATTTACTTCAAAAAACTTCAAAGTTTACAACATTTACTGTCCTCTGAAGATACTCTACCTGTTCATGCATCAGAAGGAGTTTAAATGAGAAATTAAATTAGATAGGAAACAAAAGGTAGCTAGGATAAGACTCAGTATAAGATTAAGACAGCTGGTACTGATTTCTTTATGACTATACTCTGGAGAAAAAGACCCAGGAGTCCTTCTTACCTGCTAACAGGATCCTTTGCAGTCATGTTACATTCACAACTGCATAGAGAGGAGACTGCCAGAATAAGACTGTACTTTTTTGAAGAGGAACCCTCCCAAAACACATAAGAATAATTTAAAAGTTTAGCCTAATGTACAATCTCCCTGATGTACATACACGAATAAGTATATTATTGTCTCAAAAAGGGTTTACAGATTTTTTCAGAAATCTAAGGGCATTTTTTCTCTGTGGTTTAGGCATTTCCTAAATGGTTATTTATACAATTATGATACAATTATGACGTCACTTTGAACCCCTGCCAGTATAAGAATTATAGCTACTTACAAAGCTTGGCTATATACAGTTTGTTTCAATCAGTGTAATATTTCAGTAGTCTTTATCTCAAATAGCTGCAATGTCAAAACCAGACAATATTAGGTGTTAGAGATTTGGGTCTCAGATATTATGTCCCCATTTATAAGGGACAACTGCAAGGAAGGCACAAATCAAAAGGCAGCAAATACAACTCTTGACATGTCTGCAGAGTGCTACATGACAAGACCAGAGCATTAAGACTACTGGAATTTTCACTTTAATGATACATAAAATGTTTTGGTTTTACCTCTACAGGGCAGCTGGGAGATGAGTTTACATGTGGTGACAAGCTATAAATTCATAATGTACTAGAAATATCATAATTAATACAATAAATTTTTTATGAAGTACTTTCTGAAGAAAGTGCTAAATTAAATGGGCCCCAAAAGTACGGTAGAGTTAGTAATGTTATTTATACCAGAAAGGAGGAATATAAATCTTTTAGCAGTTTACAGATGTTTTTATTTAATATCTCTGATCCAAAAGATCTGACTAGATGGGGCCACCCCAGTGTTCTTCGATGGCAAAGCCCCTAGTGTTTTCACACTTTGCAACAAGTAGGAAATCCTTATTAATCCCTTTAGCATTTTTATAATGACATTAATCATTATGAACTGCTCCAGTATTAATTCAGATGTCGTATATAATTCCACAAGAATCCCACTGAAATTTAAACAGAGCAAACCTCATCTAATTGGAGTAGAAAACATAAAATAACTCAGTGTTCCAATTTTACTGAAAATAATCACAACTAATTTCTAAAGCCAACTTAAGAGAATCTGTTAGCACTTGGAATAGCATTGATTGGATTCAGCTTAATTTTGGAAGTCACATTTATATGGGCTATATTTTGCCTTTCAATTCAGCATCTGGCAATGGATTCTATGAAATAAAGTGTCTGAGTATTTAAACATTAGTTCAGTTGTTATTTTTTATACCGGATTTTATGTCATTATGCATTATGTTTATTGCATGTGTAATTTGCCTAATGTGTACTCAAAAACAATTCCACAAAGCCTGTTTATACTATTGAATGACTGCATAGGGGTACTTCTACTCTGTTCTTGAGGAGAACTCTGCAGAACCTTAGGGATAGCTCCCATCTTATTTTGTGGGTGGGGAAATTTCATTTGTTTGTTTTATTTGTTGGTTTAATTGCAAAGTATGATAAAGAAACCTTTCTATGTATTACTTATACAGAAAGATTATGTACCTCTAGGGTACTCACAGCCAAGAATTCAAAAGTTTGATTTTGAAATATACGTGCTCACTTCATCACACCTCGTAATAGTAAGATATTCAGTCTAGACCTTAATTGGGCTATCAGTGGCTAGAGGTGGGAGAAATAGGTAATCATCCCTTTGTTTCTGTTTAGTAACAAGCTGACAGCTTTGCCAAGGAAAGAGAACCATGGCAACCAACGAAGAATAATGAGTCTTGTTCCAGAGAACAGGAAATTTTCAGTGAGAAAGAAACAAGGAAAGATTTGTTCTTATTTAACACTCAGGGTACAATATAGCTTTTATAGCTTGATCATGAACTGCTGGCCTCAAATCAAAACATTGTCATTTGCTTCAGTAGATGCAGATCAGATCACTAATTGGGTATAAGACTAGAGTAGACCAGAATTCTTTCTTGCAAGAGAAAATTACTAAAATGTATTTGTTTTGTAACATAATAGCATGTATTTTGCTATTTGAAAATAGCACTTAATAGGTTCTGAACATTTTAGTAGGACATTTAATGTAATAAATTTGCTTTTTATTCATATAACAAGAAAAGAATGTTAAACTAATGATTGGGTTCATTGGACTTTCCACTCTACTGTCAACTTTGCTTGTAATCTTGGGTGAACAATTTATGACTACATGCTTTGAGATATTTAATGCATTAGACTGCAGAACATAAGGGTTTATCACTGGGGATTTACTGTTGCAGACGAGGGTGTCCCATGCATAACCACTGTGGCATAGCTCTTTGGAAACTAACTTAATGAGATTGGAGGAAAAAAACAGGAAAATATTTATGAAAAAGAGATAGGAATTATATATGTAAGTAAGGATCTGATCTTACTCAAGTTCTCTGGCAAGAAATTCTTCAGTAAATTCTGACATGATTCTCATACTGGCATTAGAAGAATTAATCTTCTTTTAATTTCTCTCAAAAAAAGGAAAGATGGACTGTCTCATGAAAAAGAAAGATTTATTCAATCTGTAGTATTAAATTTGTCAGCCAGCATTCCAGGAACGCCAAGACTCTTGTACGCAACCAGCCTGTAAGCATCCCATTAGGGCAACCCATCCCTTAGCAGTCCTGCAGGATCAGTGGATGGTTCAACTGACTTATTAGGGGAATATAGCAACAGCATTAGTGACCCCTCAATGGGTCTTCCTCTTTATTTGAGTATGCTCTCTACTGTCAGCAACTGCAGCACCCATGAAGGACTCAGTTCATGGGATAACACCCTTTATTAGTATAATACTGTGACAGGTAAAGGTTTGAGGATAGTCACTGATAGTATCTGAATGGAAAAACACATTCAAAGACATATACAGACAAGCTCTGGTTCCCACTAAAAGTATTTTTACTTTTAAGAGAGGATAGAGTGTGATTCTTACCCAACAGGCATCCCTATGGGGGAGAAGACAGGTTTGGCCTGTCAACAGATATATGCAGTTGCAACAAATCTTCCCTAATTTTTCCCTCATTCTCAACTTAATTTTATAGTATTTCTTAATGTTTAGGTGGAGCTTGAGTGACTCTACTCATACATACCTGTGTTAGAGACTGTGCAAAATTCTGTCTCTTTATTTTTAAAGATACACTCAAAAAACTATAGAGCTCATGTCTGGTGAGGGGGGTCCATACCTTGTAGTCGGGTAACTTTGGGATGGATGTGTGGCTTTAATGAACAAAGTTAATCTGAGGAGAGTGATTTTACCACAGTTGTTGGCTCAGCAGCAGGACATATTTCCCTCTCCCCTGCCTGACAGGTGTTATGCAGTTTCTCATCTGCAAAGTTCCATTGAGATACCTCCCTGCAAGGACTTCCACAGAGCCTGGCCGTGGTGTCTCCACTCTGCTCCACCCTCTGCTCCATCCCCCTTAGCAGGTGCTGTGGCTGCAGATTGTGGGTGTGAAGAACCACCATGGAATAAGTTTCAAGGATGCCAACTACATTCCATCCAGGGCGTAGCAACTGAATTTTACCCTATAATTTCCATACCATTATAACCTCCATTAGGATGTGAATAAAACTTCTGATTTTCCTCTAATTTTATCCCAGCCATCTTTCCACACAGACATACCCCATAATAATCAAGGAAGCCTTCTCACTTGAGACAAAATTAGAACATAGATCTGAGGCACAGAGAGCTCATGTTTATATTTCTGCTCTCCTTGCTTCAGTACAAGACAAGGCTGCCCTTCCTGGAGTGAGGAAAGTGGACCAGACCCCAGTGTATAGAAGACAGTACAATACTGTCTTCTGTGAATTATTTCCAAGCTACCCAGCAAGAGCTATTCCATTTTGCACTTAAAATTAAATATTCTTTAAGTCAGTGGAAAAGATTGATTATAAAGGCCTCTTTTTATTATAGCACGTGGTATATGGGAAAATTAAGTATCTGTCTGTGCTGCTTGGTTATTTATACAATGCATATAACCTCCTATAGAGGAAGATAGAGAGAACCACATACAAATATTCCATAATTTCTGTGCAGGCCCAATGTTTATGCTCTAAGAAACTCTCTTCCTTTAAACCAAGCTCAGAAAATTAGGCATCCATTTTATTTCAGGTGCTTCAAACTTTCAGATTGGCTGAATTTGTTAATCTTTTGGACCATTAAAAGACCCATTTTTGATACACTTTAGACTCATCTTATCTCTGCATTATTAATCATCAAATTTCCTTGGGTTTATTTTTTAAAGATTAAAGGTTTATTGTGTCTGACTTCCAAGAACTCTATTCTTTCCTAAACACTTTGGTGGAGATATAGTTCTGTTTTCAAACAGAATAGCTTCTAGGACACCTGGAGAAATTTTAAAAAACACATCTCAAAATCAAACAAACAAAATAAAACAAGCAAGCAAACAAAGAAACAAAATCAACAAAAACTAAACAACAAAAAAATGTACAGGAAAAAAACTTTATGATGAAGTAGCCTTCCTTCCTTCTTTCCTTCCTTCCTTCCTTCCTTCCTTCCTGCCCTGCCTTGCCCAGCCCTGCCCTGCCCTGCCCTTCCTGCCTTTCTTTCTATCAGAGGAAAATTATTGTTAGGACGAAGAATGACACAAAATTTCAACCCAAAAAGATCCCCCATTTCTATAGGAGCAGCTAAAACAAGAAATCATGGATGAAACCATCTTAAAATTATATTATCAGCCTACTTCGCACTCATACATTTAGTATTAAGATTTCTCAGGTAAACTAGTGGATTTTACAGCATTAGAAATAAAACAAGTTTAAGCATATGGGGGTTACATACAGGTATAAGATAATTTTGTAGTTCCCTCCATAAAGGTACTCTCATGGATATAGACCAGGCACCTAATGATAGAGAAGTGAAAAGCCTGCTGCAAGTGACTTAATATCATTCTAAGATACAGAACTTCCAACATCTGGGTATCTTGTTGAAATCTCCTCTGTCCCTCCAAAAAATTTTCTTGTCCAGGCTTTGTCTCATGCCTTCACCTCTGCCCCATCCTCTCCCCTTTTGTAACTCTCACATTATACCTTCTATTGCTTCAAGCTTCATGGTATGGAAAATTTCAGACAAAACACTTATTGCAACACAATCTTTACACAGCTTAAAATGTAACATCAAAAGGGCTTCAAATCTCATGTATAAAATACAAACTTTGAAAGATTTGAATAATTTACGAAGAAATGCAGAAAGGCCAGTATGATTTCAGTCTGCTTCTCATATATTAGGAAAGATTTCCTTGTCTTTTTTCCATAGTTGATCAGTCTGGTACAGAGCTTCTGAGGAGTGCTGGCAGGTATAAATTTAGCCTGCTAATGCCATATCATCACTGATGTGTTCTGCTACTTTGGGTTGCCATGCAAACACTCACCTGAGTTTTCAGGTACTCCCTGCTCAGTACTTATGTCTTGATTTACAAAACTGTCAATCACCTCCAGTTCGTTCTGTCTTCTCATAGGTAATGGCAGCAGTAGCAGTGCAGTATGAATCACTTCACAATCATCAGATGAAAAGCTCTTGGGAGCCTACTTCTCATTTGCACTAAGAGCCTTTACATTGCTGTGGAAATATGAAGGAGATTTAGTGAGAGTGTAAATGACATTTTTGCTTAACTGCTAATCTCTTTTTCATTATCACTGTCTTGGATAAATAAAAAATATTTGTACATATAGAATAACACCCCTTTTTATTAGTGCACAGTGTCCTTTGTATAATTACATTATTCCTATTGAATAACCTTTCTCAGTTCATTTCTTGTTCATGGAGACAGTCTGTGATAATCATGGATCATAGGCACAATGGCATCTTCAACAGAATTATTAAAGCAACCACATTCCTCAGGATGATTTTTCCTTCTTCCCTCTCACATCATGAAGTGTATTGAGTAGGAATTATTTCCACTTAGTTCATACAACTGAAAATCTAGGTGCCTGGGTTAGGCATTTTTCCTCACCAATCTACAGAAAGGAGAGAGGAAATTCCAAAGGGAGATTCATCTGATTGTGTTAAGAGAGTTGGGATAAATTGCTTCCTAGAAATTTCTAGACAACTAGACAACTAGATGAAATTTCCAGACAACTTGATAAAATATCTAGACAACTAGATAAAACTGCCGCTTATATTTAACAGCAAAGGTTATTGATCTGCAAGTCACACAATGTGGACAAAAAGGAGGCGGACAGTGACAATGTTATTTTCTATATTTTACAGATTTAATGAACTAGCTTCAGGAAAAAAGCATGGCAACTTTTTCTCAAGAAATTTGAGTCATACTGTTGTTTGCTTTACAAGAAAACAGCCATTTTCCTATGCAGCCAAGTTCCTGTGTCAAAGTCATTGACAGTAAAGACAGGTACCTGTGAGTGAAACTAATTGTAGCCTTTACCAAGAAAACTTCAATCCGAGCACTGTGAGACTGAAAGTTTACAAATCCTTTAATTAGAAGGAAAAAAATCACAATAAAGAAAATTACCTTCTTCCTCCTTTCATGAAATAGAAAAGGTGGAAAAGATTAAAACTGACAAGTATAAAATCTTTAAATACCACAAAGAATTCTACCAGAGAATTTCTTTATATAGATTATACAGTAACAGTTATAAATGGAAATTTAAGAACAGATCAGAACAAACCATTTTTCATGCAGAAAATGTATGAAGGAAGCTTGCGGCTGCAAATACACTGACTTGACTAAAGAAGCAAATTACACTCTAAATCAGGAACAGTGATATATTTGTATAATTTTTATATGCTACCTACTCAGAGACCAGGCTGAGCATCTAAATGAAAATGAGTTTCTTAAAAAAGTTTACTCTCTGGCAAACAAACCTAGGAATTTCATCATCTTCAATGAGTCTAGAACATTTTTGAAAATAATGATGTTTTCAAGTTCACAAACTTTATAGAAGCCTTACAGATTCTTTTTCTGAATCTAAGTTCTGAGAAATTTATTTTCCACTCTGTTGGTTACAAAGAGTTCAACAGGCAAAAATAGAAAAAAATTACAGATACATCAAAAAGAACTTTTATAAAATGGCAGTTGCTCATGACTGCTTTTCCCATGTTATTCATTACAAATATGGCTACACGGCATTTTGTTATTTCATATTTAACAGTTTGACAAAAGCAATCACAGGAACTGAGAAACAAAATGCATCAGAGCTGGGGATGCTATGAAGTTGGAATTTCCTATAATAAGAGTTTCTGAGATTTTACCAAGACTTGAGAATGTCTGCTTTATAATCATTTCTATCATTTCCTGTGAAACAAGATCTAAGCACATATTACATTTCGCACTGAGTCAGTAAACTGTTTGGCACTCTATTGATAGGCAATAGTCTAACTCAAGGCAGTTTCAAACTATTGGATCATGTCCTATAGCTGTCATTTTGCAGACCTCCATAACTTAAGCCTGTCACTTTACTGATTTTATACTTTTAAAGTAAAGCACCATTAAGGAAGAGAATGAGCAATCAGTAACTAACACTTAGAAAATTTACATGAGGGATAAAGCAGTGCATTGCAATTTATATGTATTTTCTGTTTGGAGCAGTAGATATATACATTCTTACATGGAAAATATTTTTAAATGCAGTTCTGTACACTCTGTCATGTAAATAGAAATGCTTAATAGTTTATGTTACAATTCACAAAGCAATTTATTTTGCATATGAAATGCTATGTGCAATCACCCAAAGACTGTGCTTCTAATTAATTCACTTTTTACCATGATCATAGCAAAATCAGGAGAAGAGTAAAGGAAGGAGAAGGGAATATTCACATTGTTAATTTCAGACAATTAGAAGCATGGGAAATTATGAACCTGTATTCTGTAAACAGTCAGTGGGGAGTGATAGGAGGCCTGATGTCAGGCAGTGTTGGACAGTTAGGCTGTTCATGCTCTATGGACTCTCAATGTCCTTTGCAATTCTGTAAGGAGCAGTTGTTTCCAAGTTTGTGAAATATTAAGTGGAAGAGCTTATTCAGCTTTACTTTGCCTATGCACTTGGGTGGAACATAAAGACTATATTTCAGTTGTAAAGTATTTCCACAGAAACTAGAAATAAAAGAAATAATTTAGTAATTTTCTTTAAGACTCTCTAGGCCTTTTGGTATGAGATAGACAGCATAATGGCTGAGTGAACTTTAATTTGTATTCTCTTAGCACCCTGAGTGCTTGATTCACATTGTCATATAAAATCCTTGGCATTCTGCAGGACAGGAAACATGATTTCTTGCTTGTTCCATTTTTTGGGGTTTTTTTTCACACAATCAGCAACTGGAAAATTATCATCAGTCTTAATACATATAATACATATTCTTAATGGTCACTGACTAAAAAAATAAAATTTACTTCTTGTTTTCTTTTCATCCCTCATTTTTTTGTGGGGGGGATGGTTGAATCCTCATATTCATAGTATCAGATGTGCATGCCATAACAGGGTGAGCAGATACTGTATAGATGATTTATCAGTAGCAGCATCATCCAGTGGGGAGTGACTGCATGATTTTCAGGAATGGCGTGGAGTGGCATAAGAGTTTTGATAGCAAAATAAACACTTCAGGAAATAGGAGTACATAGAATAAAGATCTGGCAGCACAATGAGCAGTGAAGAGAAAACTTGAATAAAATGAATAATAAAAGACTGAATGGAAATAAAGAAGAGTCAGGCAAGAGAATTAAGGCAAACACTGTTGAAGGAATTAGCTATGGAAAATTCTAAGATAGTGAGATGTATTTGTTTCCATGCTTCCACTTCCAGATTCTTTCTTTTCTGATTAACAAGACACATAAAGTACCTGCTTAGTGATAAATTTCTAGGGTTCTCTGTTCATTGAAGATGAGGCAGAGTCAAAATATTGCGTTGAAATAAAAGCCCAGATTACAAAAGTGTTCAGTGTAGCTCATCTGACCTACCTGAATAGATCAGTATATTGGATACAGTCATTTCATAACGCAATGCAATTTTCAAATTTGCTTTAGGCTTTGAAAATCTCACAAAGCTTTCATTATACCTTTAAGTCCCAAAGCATTACAGAAAAAAATAAACACTACTTCTGCCTTTGACAGCTATACGCTAGCAAAATTCTTCTTCTTTTGATGTAACTACTGCTTAATCAGTTCTATTTTTCAAAAAGAAGTTGAGAATTACAGTGCTCCTCACAGACATCAGGTCACTCTATAACCTCTTGAGAATAACCTATTCTATTCACCAGTCATTGACATGGTGACTTAACAAATAAGGCACTTCAGTTCTGTTATGTTATTCTGTTTTTCAAAGTATAGAGGATTGTCTTAATTTTAGATTCCTTACTCCAGAACTTCAGCTTATAGAATTCAGATGGAGACTCCATTGAAGAGTCATTAATTTCTGCTACCTCAGGACCCCAGGCAGATGTCTTTTAGATGTTTCAATCCGCTCAGTTAATTTAAAAAAAACTGGCTTTGACTTGTCTGTAAAGTTCAGTGAATTGCAAAAAACAATTAATCCAATCTATAGAAAAGTCATTTATAATAAACTACTATATCAAATATATCTATAACATAAAAACATACCAGACAAGCACACAGACACATGCAAACATATGCATAGATATAAAAATTTCCTCCTGAAATAACACACATATATATATACATGCTACCATTTCAACTCTTTTGGATGAATTATTGTTTAGAAAGCTAATTTATTACGTAAAATTACTCTTATTTCTGATTACAAGGCCTGTTAAATGGCTTCTAGATTCCTAGCGAAAGAGAGACATATCATAAAGAAAAGCTTGGGATACATTTTTCTTGCTTGTATCTGGTTGCCAGGTTCAAACTAGGTGAAGTGTGTTTTAAATAGTTTGCCTTAAGCAGTAGCATATGAGCTGGCATGAAAGATTACTGTCCAAAAGGCAATTTCATTTATTACTAGCCCTGGTAGTATTTGTCACTTTATTCACTTGGGTAGCAAATATGTCACCCAGACTTTCATGGGGAATTAAACCATTGTGCAATCTGACAATAACAAGAATATTTTTAGCAACCATGTCAGGTATCTGGTGCTTTTGTGTCTACATATTCCTAGTCACAATTCCCTTAACAGGTATTTTGTAAATAATCCCTTGGTACACCTTTATCAGACCTTCTTGCTACTTGACAGACAAAGAGCTCTAGACAGTGAGAGTTGCATACCTCTCTACTGTCCCTGTTATGCCACTATAGCATGACAGCAAATTGCTACAGCAAATTGTTATAATAACTTGCCATAAAGAAGAGCACTCTGCAGTAATCTACTCATACAGTGACAAACTGTAGTGTACTGTGCTGTGTAGTTCATTCCATATCTGAAAGAAAATATTAAAACTTCCTGGTGAAATGTAATTGATGGAAGAGGATTTTCTGTCATCATGATGATTAAGGACCTACAGATTCAATAACTGCCTAAATTTTTGATTTAAGCAATATAAGTGATGGGAAAATCTGCAAGTGATATTCACTTCTGTATTTCTTTTTCCTGGAGTACTATTCTGCATTTCTCAGGGTCAGTAGTGCAAATCATTGAGTTGCACTACACATTGAATTTATGAGTTAAAAAATAATCAATTTTTGATATTTTAAAAAAACTGGACCAAGTAAAGTCAGAAACATTAGGTTTAAAATGAAAACTTTTCTATGTAACAAAAATACTTGAACAGTAATTTGCGCTTCACCATTTTTTCAGATGCATCTTTCATAAAGAAACTTTCTGCTATATTGACCATCACCTTCAGGCAACATGGGCTGAAATTTTATCATTTGCATCTCTTATCGACCTGCCAGAGCATGCTCAAGTTTTGGCTGGGACTCTAGAGAGGTAAACTCATACTGCTCCTTGTGATTTGGCATATAAGTGTCACAGAGAAGGTGTGTACAGCAGCTTTCACCTATGCTTATTGCAATGTCACCTGACAAGTGCTGAGCTGGCAGAACAGTCAAAAAACAGATCTTAGAATAGCTTTTCACATGACCTAAACTGAGGTTAAAACCCAGAAGTTCAAGCTGCCTACAAAGCCAGCATGTAGGTTTTTTGGGAACTGAGGATTTCAGGACACTCTTGGGATCTGAGAATCCCAATAAGCTATACATTAAAGAGCAGAGAAGCTTGAAACAGTCCCAAGTAAATGCATAAGTATTAGTGAAGACCCAAAATAGGAGACAGAAAGGCACATGCCAATCAATCATAGACTGCAAAGAGACCTGCCGAAGGGAAGTGGCAAAAATATTAGGAACCTTCCAGCAGGGACTTATTGAGTAAATATCTTGGTATCCTCAAGGCAAAAAAAACTGAGCTAAAGTTAAAGGTCTCTAATTTTAGTGATATCTGAAGGCTAGAAGTGTCAATGTCACCTAATGATCCAGAAAGACTGACATGGATATGTGAGTGTTACCTTTCACAGAAGATCAGAGCAATTAGTACAGTGCCTACATCAAACTCAGAATACCAGAAAATCAAAGCTGCCTCTGGACTTCAGGCAATTTTAAAAGTGCATTACAGATCTCTTCTCAGTGACCTTCAATCTGAAGGGTTACTACACCTTTTGAGGTCTAAGACCCTGAGTGTCAATTGATGCACATAGATTTGCAAATGTCACAAAGCTAAGCTTTTTTGGCAAGAAAATACAGTGCTTCTTTTCCCTTCTATCCACAAGTTCTGTAGCACTTCAAATAAACTGATGAAATATGAAATACCACAACACTCATACAAGATAGGGACACACTATTTCTGTCATTTGAGAATTTCTACTACAAGAGTGTGGGAAAGGCAGTCTGTAAGGGGATTGCTGACTAATTCCTCAAGCTAGCTGGCCTCCCTAAAGCAATACAGAGTACAGGGCAAACTAACTTGTAATATTTAGCCCAGCTTTGCAGAAGGATTTTGCAGCCCACAGTAAATTCCAGGCTGTTCCCAACACACTGCTGCCAGCAAAATGAGAAAGTTACAGTAACATGATCAGTACACACACCTTGATCTGTGCTGCAGGTGCATCATGGGGCTCCAAGACTCAAAAGCTGGTGTCAGAAATGTCAATAGGCTTTTTTAGTTCAGAGGTCATTTTTGATGGCTTAAGATTTCACCATCAGAATCCAAATCCTACTGACTTCAAGGAGACTAAAGTTCCTCCAGGAGGTTCTTAACTTTTGATGTGCATAAATTCGTCTGCAGAACCTCAGCCAGTCACTTCAATCAATAACGTGTGTCTAGGGTGCAAAAGGAATTTGCTTCTTCCTATGCCTGTAATGGACCTAAAAAAAAAAAAAAAAAAAAAAAAAAAAAAAAAAAGAGTCCTTTTAGGCTCACAAACCCATTTAAATGGTCAAGTTGAGTGAAATTAATTCTGACAGGTACAGGTGCTTAAGGGGGATTTAAGGCATATATGTCTGCAACAAGTGGATTCCTCAAAACCAGTATCTCACACATCTCAGGCATGAGCATTTTTGGGAAAAGAATGAGAGACACCTGAAGAAACAGCAATTTTCAGGGCAGTCAGTCTATTCAGCCTGCACTGATGACAAAGAAAAAGGGCTGATGGTCCCATGTTACCTAGAAGCTCCTCATTAACCTCAGCAGGCTTCACTGGCCAAGGTAATCATTTCTGGAAGGCACCTTTCCAATGCACAGAAATTTGTGAAAAAGAGGCACATAGGCACTTATCTCCAACATCTTATAGACCATGGTTTGAATGGGAACCTACACATCAGCAAACTGAGTTTTTCAATTCATAAAGTTTCCTTTGCATATTTAGCTTTTGACACATAAATCATTTTTGAACATGGATACTAACTCATGAGTAACACTGATCCTTTAGAAATCCAGATGTTTTTAAGGACTGTACTTAGAGTGAGAAGGAAGTAGAGTAGACTAGATATGTGAGGCATTCAGTATCTTCTGTATTCATAAGTATTATAAGCTGTATAATATCCATAAAAACTGATGAAGCATGTATACATGAGGAATATACTTACGCTTGTAAGATGAAGGTGACATTTTCTAAACTAAACTACTGTAATAAATTAGTGTTCCCAGAATTTATAAAATTATTTACAAATGGAAAATGGACATCTCCTGTCAAGATATTGGCCTTATTCAAGGAAACAGTAGGTTTATGCACTGTGCTTGCGACTACACTGTGGTAAGCGGGCATAATACCATCAGAAAATTAGATCTTGACATTCCCCTTCAAAATAGACCTGATTATTTTCTCTGATGGATTTGTAGCTAAGTGCTCAGTATACTGCTGAATCATGCCCAGCCTGGGATTTCGTTTTGAATAGATTATGAATAACTGTTATTAATGCCCCCTGTCCTATATAATATCGCACTTGGAGTTTTTGAACATGTGATTTTTTTTTCAGGTATGAAAAATCTGACAAAGTCTGTCCAGAAATCAAGCCATGTTTTAATGTATGCCATTATTTTATGCCACTCTGCCTTTAACTTCAGTTTCATTTGGGAGAGGTCAGAGGTCTCAATGTAAAGGCGTTTTTCTGTCTATAACTGCTCTTAAACTATAGGCACAGGCTTGATTTAATTTGTCATTAGTTCTGCTTTGTAGCTCCATATATGTTGAAATCTGACCATATTTTTCATTGTAAACATAGAGAGTAAATTGACACATAAACACAAAGATTTGAATGAACATTTTGCAGTGTTTGCCTTTTCAAACTCTGAAGATATATTATCCTGCTGGGAAATATTAGAAGACTAACAGCACTGGATATAGCACAGGTTCTTTAGAAAGGAAACTATATAAGCAGCAACCATAAAATGGAATTAAAATGCAAATAATTCCTAATTAATTTTAACAGATTAAGAGTATTTAGAGTATTTCTTAGAAAACTCCAACAGCTGCAGAGCAGTATTTACACAAAGCAACTTCTTTGAGCAACAAAGGTTAGGATAGCCTTATCAGAAAACATTCTGCTAAAGTACTAAATAAGATATGCATAATTTTCTGAAATTTGGATTCAGTTACTGTGTGGTGGCATTTACATGTTCTTAAAGTACCCATACAAATAGCCACTTCAGGTCTGAATATTAAAAATGTGTGCATGGGTGTGGCTATTCTGAGAATAATGAGAACAAAGCAAAATACACATTCATGTTCAGACCTACTGTTTACTTTAGAAATATTAGTTATTTTTATGTGGACCAAGTTTTTATTTCCACAAATTTCCACAAATTCCTCTAATGTATCTCTTGGAGGGTGGTATCACAAAAGGGTTTAATGTGATGATTGGACAATACAGGAGGCATGTTAAAATAATCTGCCCAGTAAAGAAGACATGGATATGGCTAGCAAAAATTTTTCTGTCTTTATTTCAATATCCACATTGTTTTCATTAAAGATCTGATATGTTATCTCTAAAATTTAATTATGCTTTCATAATTTTTAATACCATGCCTATCTATCCAACTTCTAGGTCTTTCTGGAATCGCTAAAAAGTGTTCCAGATTATTCTTGCATTTTACAAGGACGTCTTTTTTACTTTGTGATTTAGTAGGGAACAGAAACTGACAGTGGGAAAACCAACAAACAAAAAAACCCAAACAAACATCTAAAAACATCCAATCTTCCAACACAATTTAGGGTTTCATTGAGAAAGAATTGCCAAAAGGCTATGGCACCCTTTACCACTATTACAGAGGTGCAATACAAAAAGATGAGAAAACCTTGTTCATGCAAAGATCAGAAAAAGCAATTGGAAAAGGGAACAGTGACAAAAACAGCAGCAGCAGAAAAATAAAACAGAAATGCCAGCCAGATAAGGTAGACTCGTGCAATGACTTCAATTTGCAAGTGTTGAAAGAGTCTACATTTTTTCCCTAAGTGGCTCAAGAAAGGCAGCATACTTTTTTATTCTCTTACTCATCATCCCTTGAAATCAGAAGAGTCCTGACCTAAAAAACAGATTAAAGTATTTTCAGACCAAATCACCATTCCAACTAGGCATGTTTCACGACTCCTTAACTTGTTAGTACATTTCTGGAGTGACTTGGAACATCCTTTCATGTATCAATCTCCTTAAAGTAGTCCTTAGGGCTTAAAAGTGCCACCTAGGGCCAACTACAATGTGTTCAAGCAAGACTTGGTTAAAAAGAGTTTATTCAGAAAGTAAGAGAAAGCAGCAATTGAAATGAAATGTACCGAACAGCCGGCAGACTGCCAAATGTCGGTGCATAAGTCTTCCCCTCCTTCCCAACTGAGGACAGAAAATGTAGTTAGATAGGCCATTGTTATTGGTTGAAAAAGACACTAAAAACTATTAATGTCCTATTTTTCCCATTGGCAATACATTTGCCCCAAAGTAGGGTCAGGGGGCTAAAATCCACCTACCAAATTAAAAGGAAAAAAGGGGTTGTTTTGTCGTAAGCTTGAATAGTTTAGCCTGACCCTAGGTGAGACAGAAGGCAATTTTCACCTCTCAAAGAAGGTCAATTGCATTTGCCAAGGCACAGCAGATCGTCAAAAGGACTTTAATTTTCCTGCAGTATGACCTTCACCCAGAACAGGGGAGAATCATGCTATTTAAGGATATCTGCAAAGACCAGAGACAAAAAATGTCAGCTTGCAAGCACATCTTTTTCTGAGAAAAGAACATATGTAAGATTAATATTTTGCTAAATGATGTAGCATAGAGTGATTCTATAAACTAGGCTGAAAAACCCCAGGCTTGTGCAGTTTAGGGACTGCAAAAGATTCCTGCCACATCTAGCAGTCTAAGCCAGCAACTCCCTGTGTTTCTTTAGTTCAAGGGATTTATTTTTTCTCATCATTCAAGTAGGAAAAATGGGGGGGGAAATGGATAGAAGACACCTAGAAAAAACATTTCTGACTGAAGAAACATAAAGCTGATGTATCAGGTTCATATTACCCTTCATAATGAAGGGAAGAGGAATTTTTCAGGAAAAAAAAAAGAGAAGTCTAAACAGAAGCTCTGAATAGTTCAGAGGTTCTAGCTATTGTTAGCTAGTGTATGGATCCCCAGCAGGGCTGTTGCCATGGATTCAAAGGAAAGAAGTTGATGGTTGGTGGACTAGTCCTTATCAAAGCTGAAAATATGGAGGGTGAAGAAATAACTTTGAGGCATTCTCTTTTTTTTCCAGTAAATATTGATATCTTCTATATGGGCATTGAAGATGGAAAATTGCACTGTACTTTAAACATCACATCGAAACTACTTGCACCCAATTTTATCTATGTGTTTCTACTTATTTATTTGAAGCTCCACAATCAAGTGGAATATGTCCTTTTCCTGGAGAAAGACACTTAATAAATTAAAGAAAAAGTTGATCAAACTTTCCTCTATTCTTCAATTACAACAGCTTGCTACAGAAAGGCACGTATTCCTCACTGTACACATGGAAAGAAACAGCTGACTCAAATAATTGAGCTCTGTATCTCTTTAGAGTTATTTGTAAGTCCTCATTGTATATTGAATTTTTCAGTAAATGGGGCTACCAGTTTGCTATAAATCAGATTTAAAATGAACTTGAGTTACTACAGTTTTGTTTTCCCAGAAGTGTTAGAAACTGTTGGTTTGTGATACTAAGCCAGTATCTGCTCATCCCAGGTCCCCAATCTAAAATTTTGTTCAAGATGGGAATACTTCAGCAGAGAAACATCAAAGCTGTGACCTCAAAACTCTGCAGAGACAAGGGACAGCCTAGAATCAATGGTAATTCTCTGGTCAATAGCTGAGATCTGAAGGTCACCCAAAGACAGAGACAACCAAGTCTCCAAGGTTGCAGCGCAGCACTGTGGAAAGGGACCTGAAGGCTCCTGGTCAATGGCAAGTTGAACATGAGTCAGCAGTGCCCTGGCTGCCAGGAGGGCCACCCGTGTCCTGGGGGGCATCAGGCAGAGTATCGCCAGCCAGACAAGGGAGGGGATTGCCCCACTCTGCTCTGCACTGGGGCAGCCTCGCCTCAAGTGCCAGGGGCAGTTCTGCATGCTATAGTGTAAGAAAAACATTGAACTACTAGAGAGTATCCAAAGGATACTTTACAAAAATGGTGAAGGGTCTGAAAGGGAAGCTTTATGAGGAGAGGCAGAGGTCACTTGGTCTGTTCAGCCTGGAGAAGAGGAGACCAAGGAGAGACCTCATTGTGGTCTTCAACATCCTTTTGAGGAGAAGCAGAGGGCCAGGTACCAATCTCTTCACTCTCATGACTAGTGACAGGACTCAAGGAAATTACATGAAGTTGTGTCAGGGGAGGATTAGGTTGGATATTAGAAAAAGAT